GAAAAAGATTCAAAAATCAAAGTAATAAGTGGGAATCACGAAGACAAAGAAAGAGTCCGAATGAAACTACGCTACTGGCTGACACCTAGCCATCTCATTTGAAAACTCCCAATCATTTGGTAGGCGAATCACGTGGACCTCAACCCGGAAGTCTAACATGTTCGACTTGGTCATGTCCACTGACCAAGGCTAACATACCATTTTGTCATACCGCACACAAACGTTTATTCAAACCCAAGAAATTCCGAAAAGGTATCAATCACTTTTCGTATATTCTCTGCTATACACACAACAAAGCATCAGTAAAAACAAAATGAAACGAAATTGATGAAAGGTGTTCAAGATTATAGAGTCCAACAACTGGAAACAATACTAGTCACAAGTTCGATGTGTGTCGAACGCAACTTATCATTCAGATCGATAACTAAGGGAGGACGCTTTATGCAACATTAGTGTTATGGTCCTTCTCTCTTTCTCGTTCACTCTACGTTACTCAGTTTGAAACGGGAGCGCTGCGCGCTTCCGCACATCATTTCATTGACCGGAGCAAAGAGTAGAATGGAGTGTATGGGTGTGTGATAAAAATGCTAGAAAATGCTCTTTTTACTTTCATATAACGGAAAGTCCATTTTTTTCATTACATGCTTGCGCATGAGTACAGTGAAAGGGGCATGCACGCCATAGCCACGAGAGCCCACTGCACTACTGGGGATAACCGGCAACCAGACCCTAGGACTTGGGGTGATGAAGAATCACATAAGGTCCCAACAGGTCAGGTGTGGTAACGATCCGGACTACAGTGGATTACTGTCCACCACCACTGCATTTTACACACCCAAAAGTCCAACGTTGCGAACCGGAATAGAACCGGCGACATTCCGCTTATCGGGCGGATGCTTTACCAACTGAGCTACCGCAGTACGGCCAGTTGGGTGTGAATACCGTATGTGAATATCCGATGGTGATATGATAGCGGGATTCATCATGCAGTGTGAACGTTCAAATCATTGACAACCATGGGAACACTGCACAGCCGTTTCGTCCTTGTTAGGAATCACCAGCAGTACACATCCAACCAACCCCAACTGGGACTCAAACCCGCCGGGAACGATTGTGAGTCGAACACTTTAACCACAAGGCTATCCGAGGTGACTCTCAACTTAAACGCTACGTCATATAGCACTTTCCTCGTCTACTTATTATACAACAATTCGGGAAGGAGGCCGCGGCCAATGAGAGGCTGCCGAACGGGAAAGTGACCAGCGGTGGCGGGAACTGAACCAGCCGGGTTGTCCACTGTCCAAAGTCCATGATGATAACTGTTTGACCAACCCCGGTTAAAAAGGAAAGTAAATTGATTACAGTCAGCGTGGTCATAATCCATTGGTACAACTTACCTAGTCATGAACGCGCAGCTGCGCATACGTTCAATCTGACTCTTATCAATTGCATAGTAAAGATTGTGACAGGATCGGAGAGACTGAGCCGAACCCCTTCTTATCGTTGCTACTTTCGCTGATTTCAATGACGATGAGGAGAATCGCTGGTTGACTGACTGACTGAAGATGATGACGATTGATCATTATTAATATTAATATCAGTATTATTATATGCGATGTGGTTGAATGAAGACTGGTGGATTTAAAAGGAATCGAGTAGAAGTTGGGTGCATACATAAGTTTGTGTGTGTGTGTGTGTGTGTTAACCGATTTACCTACCACAGGAAGTGGATTGAGTGAGCTGACCGAAATCCAGGCAACAAGGGAGGTCGAAATTGTCCATAGATCACGCATAATGCTAAGATACAGAAGTGAACGTGCTTTGAGAAGTCGCTGAGCCGAATGATCGAAGATCGCTCCAATACTAGGCCACAGAATGAAATGAAATTGAAAGACACCAAAACAATCCGGGGGGAACAAATAGGCGAGTGCGTCATCCGATTAGAGAGTGTATGCTCGTCTGTTAGTGCGTGTGTGTGCACGGTACAGACAACTGGAACTAGCAACACGGATATTACAGATACAAGTAGAGAAGAAGTGGACTGAAACAAGCGAATAACACTGCAAACTATAGGGAGGGAAACGGGAACCATAGATGTTGAGACCAATGAATGACAGATTTACTGTGATAGATAATTTCTAAATTGATCTGATCAGTGAACTGGAAAGACAAAGAACCATCGTGATGAAAAGGGATATAAGAACTGGAAGAAAATTGAGGATGATTTGATTGAAACAAGTTGATAAACTAAATGAACTTTTCTTGAAACACTAGATTAGAACAACAAAAGATCGGGAGAAGTAGTTAAATGATGAGTTTGGCTTTATATTACCTGCATTTTGGGTTCACCATTGCCAGATGATTGATTAGATAATTCGCAGACATGAAACATTTAGCTACCGATGAAATTTTGTACCACTGCCAAAACGATTACATTCATCTATTTACCTAAATGCCAAATTGTAAATAGTAGATAAAAAGTGATGGCCAGAGGAGACGTATCGACTTCTCGAGTAGATTTAAATCAAGATACGGAGTTATTACCGATTCACACTAACCGTATTAATGTAAATTATTCAACAAAAGTTGTCACACACACACACAAACAAACAAACAAACGATGACCACCGCAACACGATGTGAATATAAACTCTGAATCACTCGGGAAAAGTTGACTGTTTCAAAACATTGTTTTCGACCCACATTGTTCATCAGTTGAACATGAGAGAAAACACGGCGCAACAACACAGACGTAACTCATTTAACAACTTTCTGTTCCGTTCTGCACATCGTCTGGCAAAAGAAACAGAGTATCCATCTGAACAATTTGCACGGATGACGTAATCGGCAACGAAAACCATCAAGTATCAACTGTAATCTTACCGGTCGGGAACGCTGAACACGAATAGCATAAATGATTAACTGAAGGTTACCCCCTCTTTCACACACACACACACACACACACACACACACACACACACACACACACATCGGTTTGAAGTGTTCTGATGGGTTACGTTTCCACAGAAGGCCAACTTATCAAAATCCAGGTAGATTGGTCGTGTGCAACATCAAAAGCGACTACGGTAGTCACGGTCAGGTTCTGATCAAGAGAAAAGGTTAAAAGGTTGATTCATATCCGAAAGACTATCGAAACCGACTTCGAAGATCGCGTATAACCGACACACGCTTACCAACCGCAATGCGATACGCGAAGGGCGGTGGATACAAATCGGGAATATGCGAGGACAAAAGCAAAGAAACTCGAAAACCGGTACAACATAGGGTGATGATGACTAAGCCTACCTGTTTGAGGTGAACCTCAGTACGCACACACACACACCCACGCACACGCACCCACGCACACACACATAGGTGCAGACAAATGTAAGGACACAGACGAACGGAAAGAAATACAAATACACCTGTCGGTCAAATTGCAAGACAGACAGTCAATGCAGTAAGAATGTAGACTACGTCGACATTACGTGTTGTTGGTGAAGGTGCTGTCGGTGCTGGTTGTAGTAGTAGTAGTAGTAGTGGTGAGGATGACGAGGTTTCAGTCGGCGCTTTTATTTGAATTGACCCCAACTGAGTGGGTGTGTGTGTACGAATTGGTTGTATGGTTTGAGAGATCAACCGACAACAGCTGGGCTTTGGACACAAGAGTCAACAAGACCCCAGATGCATAGGATGGTGGTGATGGTAGAACGCAGGTCAAACAGTGATCCGGAGCAAACTGAACCACAGAGGGTAGCTAAGATTCTCTGCAGCGTAAATCAACTATACAGGTCAGTATGACAGGTTATAAAAGGCTGACTCTATCAAAGGAATGGAGTGGATGAGAAACAGGTGAAAATGTTAAAGAAAACGGATATTGAAATATATTTTTAAGAAAAGCAACCACCACATAAAAGTAATTTGCGTTGGTGAATCTAAGGAACATCAATCTGTAATGTAAACAAACAAAACTTTCAGACGTGATTTAACCGCACTATAAAGGTTGCACGAGAAAGAAATATACAACGCACAAAACAGTAGACCTAATAACATTGGGTAGGAATGACGGTGTGAGAAATGGAGTGGCGAACAATTACACATAACTAGTTGAAAAGAAATGTGAGTTGTTCAACATCATTACCACAGGCGTACATTTTTGTAACAACGAGACTGCTTCTTTCTAAAAATTATTCATCTAAGTGGTGTCCTAGGTCACGATCGTTCTTCATTAGTATGCGGTTGTGTGATGGCGGTCGAGTGGTCTAGAGCGCTCTGTTACTACCTCGGAGATCAGAGGATCGAATCCTCGCCATCACCGGTTGCTAGGGTGGTAGGCAGTAATCCACTATCGTCCGGCTCGTTACCACTCCCGACTTATTGGGACCTTATGTAGCCATCCCCACCAAGACCCAGGGTCTCATTGTTGTTTATCTCTATTAGTGCAGTGGGTCTTTGTTGCTATGGTGTACACCCCTTCCATTGTACTCATGCGTAAGCATGCAATGAAAAAAAATCGGCTTAGTTCTTGTGTCGCGAATACGAAAGCGCCATCGTCACGTGTGACCAAAATTTCACAAATTAACCAATCATATCACGGCTCGGACATTTATCGATTGTGTTGACTGTACACATCATCGTTTACTTGGTAGTACAGTTATTACGTTCACATGCGCCCATTTGGCCGGTGTATACTCCGTATAACATAAGTGCTTACTTCTGAACACACCAATTGGCATACATTTGAAGTATTCCTCGTAGCTTAGTAGCTATCGTTTCACAGTTTAAGAATCCTACATAAACCTCAAGCCATGGCGAAAAGGCTTCCAAACTATGGAAGATACTGTGAAAATTACGGGATAAGTAATATGAATTTTCCTGTTTCCGCATCATTCGTTCGACGATCTTTCTCTTTTTTAATAAAATGAGAATACAATAATAATAGTGCTTAACAAAAGAGGATTACGGTAACTGAATAGGCTAGTGCAACCCTGTAGACTTACGGTCACATTGATGGATAGTTCAGTCCGCGCGGACAAGCTTGTTTCAGTGTCCAGCACTTCCAATAAGAGTAGATAACGTGAAGCTGTTTCATAATCCAACTTGGACACCAATCGAATTATGCCTGAATGAACAAACAGAAGCAGCAGAAAATGAAAAGCGAGGGACAGACTGGCCGAGAAAAAAAAATCCTAATAGAATGAGACAACAGTAACAGTAACAACAGCAAATGAATGACAACAGAAGTCAACTTTTACCTATCAAGCATTATTGACAGAAGATGAGAGCTTCATGCAACGATATGAGAACGCGTACACGGACAAGAACAAACGTGAATCACCGGAACATTCTCATCTGATATCAAAGGGGAAATCCTCACAATATCATTTGAGCACCAGGTTTTTAAAAATATACACACTGCCAACCGTAAGCAGTAGTGAGTGCGCGCACACTAATCGTCTCAATAGGTGAACAGAACAACACCGACTTGTCAGCATGGAGTGTGCATGAAAAACGGTAGCTAAGATGACATCTAAAAAAATTATCCTTAAGGAAAGACAGACGACGAAATAATCCCATGTGGTTTCGGTATTAAGTGTAAGCTAATCCGTACAAACAAGCTGAAATGAATCAAATAATAAAAAACTGAAAACAGTACAAACATACATAAAAGCAGAACACGATAACTCACACGGTCCCTGATTACGATAGACTAACGAAGGGGATGAATGAGGAGAACACGGCAAAAAAAAACCAGGCTGTTCGTTAAAAATCGAAGTTCAGTGAAAAGGAAACAAACGGGGAAAAAGTTATATGCACAATGGAGATGAGAAAATAGTTCAGAGCAGGCTTCATTTTTACTACACAGAAAGTGAGTTACAGCAAAAGGGGGTAAACCGCATAGTTTGTAAACGTAATGTAAGAGGAGTTTCTGGGGAACATTCATGTCAAAACCAGTTTGTTGATTCCGGTTTTGAAAAGAGAAAGGTTGTAGGTGGGTGGAAAGAAAGAGGGGAAAGGTGCTCAACAACTAAGCCAGGTTGAATTCCGAGATAGAGCGACAAAAACCTGATAAGAGTGACCGGCTGTCTGTGCTCGGGATTGGTGTTGAAAAGAAATAGGAACAGGAACAGCCGAGGCAAGGTCGGAGGAACAAAACCTGAAATATTAGCGGTAGAATAAGGACAATGAAACAACTGCCAGGCGATGGGCAAGCGACTGCAAATTGTTTGGTAAAACTGAGTCACCTACCAGACGAATGACTTTACTTTGAATCCGGTCGGGACGAGATCAAGAAGACAAAGCGCCAACTCACACGTGACAGCAGTATTCAAGTGTGGAACGGATATGGGCTTTGTACAGTAAGAAGAGATGGGTTGGTTTGAAGAAACGTTTGGCTTGGAATAGAAAACCAATCTTGCGCACAGCACGAGAAGTAAGCGAACCTATGTATGAAGATCAGGAGGAGAGGAGAGAGAGAGGAGACGATCGAAAGACCCAGGAAGGGCACCGAGTTGGAGGAACGAAGGGGAATCGAATCAAAAGTTATATAGGGAAAAAGGAATGGTTTGAGAGAAATTGAGAGAAGATATGTTTCAGAAGCATTGGAAAGAAAACGATTTTGAGAGCCTCAAGAGTTCTGTTCAAGGTCCGAACTGAGCGATGCTTAGAGAGCACGACGGTTAAGATCGATTTTGACAGTGGCATGGTGGAAGGTGGAGTACGAAAAGGAGTATTGAGGGATGGGATCGTCAGCAAAAGCGTGGATGGGGTTGGAAGTAGTGGATAAGAGGCCATTATTGAAAAACAGAAAGAGGATGGGCGAAAGTACAGAGCCTTGAGGAACACCAGCATTAACGAGAAAAAAGGCTGCGGTTGTGGCTCATCGACTCGAACGGCGGTGGTCCGATTACTGAGAAAACTCGACGCCCAGAAAACAGGGGTCGGAAGAAAACCAAAAGTGGGCAATTTAGACAGTAAACCATTGTGCCAGACACGGCCAGAAGCCTTCGAAATTTCTAGCAAGACCAGGTGTGTTGCTCCGTGGTTATCGAGTGCTAATGACCAGGAGCGGGAGGCCATAGCTAGTAGATCAGCCATGGAGCGGCGAGGTCGGAACCCGTATTGACGACCTGGCTGCGGTCGTTCACGTTCGAGGAACGGTCGTAACTGGTCAGAGATTATGGTCTCCATGAATTTCGAAATGACAAAAGTTATGGAAAAAGGACGGTTGCTGTTCGGGTCAGAGGGGCACTCGTTGTTGCGAATATGAAAAATTACGGCTTCTTTCCGTGGGGCGCGAAACGTACCAGATTGGAAAGGCAAAATAGATGACGTAAAACTGGTGCTAACTCTGGAGCACATTTTCAGGAAGACGGTCAGAATACCGTCTGGACCAAATGGTTTGTTCTGGTCCAGTGATTGTAAAGTCTGCGGATCTTTCTGGTTGTGATAAGGGGAATAAAAGAGCGGTTAGTAAGGGTGACTGTAAGCGGAATAATAGAGCAGCTGGGTGAAATGGAATTAGAGGCTAGCCGGGAAGCGAAAGCCTCGGCTTTCTCATGGAGTTCACAGATGTAAGAGCCAGAGGAGTTAGAGATGAGGAAGAAATTGGAAGGACAAAAGTTACGAGAAACGGTTTTGGCGAGAGATCGAAATGATCGGCTACCAGTGACGGAAGAAGATGGACGTTTGACTTAGTAGCGGATGAAACGATCCTTGGCTTTGTGAATGCAAAGCGAGTCTGCACGAAGAGACTACGAGACTTGGGAGCAGTGGAGCGGCACCACCGTCTAAATGCTGAGTTCCTCAACCGCACAGCGTGATTGCAGGCTTGGGTAAACCACTTGGGAGAACGTAGTTTACTGGTTTTGGAAAAGTGTGGAATAAAAAAGCATGCCTTGGAGAACAGTCTCGGTGAAGTTTGAAACGGAGGTAGAAACATCGGAAGTAAAGAAACGGTCACTCCGGGAATGGGAGGCCAGAAAATCACAAAAACCGTCCCAGCTGGCTGAACCATAACGTCATAGTTGTGTTTAGAGTTTGCACATAGGAACTGGGAGAGAAAAGGTGATGGGAAAGCAGATTAGACAGTGGTCCGATGGAGAAAGAAAGGCAATATCAGAGAATGAAGAGGAAAAGAAAGTGAGAAGAAGATCGAGGGCATATGGTCGACTGACAGTCCGATCGAGAATTCCCGTGGGGAAGTCAACGAATTGTCTTGAAATGTTGACCAAAGCGAAAGCATCAACTTCGCGCCCACAGTCGTGGTATCAAAAGAGTGCAAAAGCCAGATCTTATTGTGGACATTAAAGTCATCAAGAATGGTAATTTGGCGACTGGAATCTATTGTAAACAAGTTCTCAATGCCAGAAGACGATAAATCAAAAACTGATGGATCGCTACTGTTGGGAGTGATAAACGGTACAGAAGAAATGGTTAAAATAAGGGAACAGGAGCTTCAGCCACATCAGCTGGAGTTCGTGGTGGGCAAATTACACGTGTGGGATACGGGAGGTAGCGGTTGACTGGCTGATGTAGGCGCAGACACCAACTTCAGTGAAAGTGGGGAGCGGAAAAGTAGAGATGGGCAGTATTCGACGACAGATTTGCGTTTCAGTCAAGAAAGAGGCAAGGGGAGAAGAAGACTGGAGAAAATGATGCACGGAATCAATATTTTGGTTCATACCGCGAATTGCTGAATAGACATGAGCGATGATTTTCTTTGAGTAATGAATTACGTGAGTTTTTTTTGATGAGATCGGCAACCCAATACTGGGGCTTGGAGTGGCGAACCACACAGGGCTCCAATAGGAGAGGTGAGGATGCTATCCCGTCATTCACAGACCGATCGTTCGGCCCAATTAGAGACAAGACTCAGATACAGTAAAGATCCGAGCATACGTTGATAGCGAACAAAAGAGTAAATCTGATTGAATGGATGTAATTCAAGATTTTCGGCGAAGCAATTTACACGAGTAGAATGCCAGGCAGCAGACGTTCGATAACATTACGAAGCATTTTGCGAGGCATTCTCTGGTCAATCGACTTTTACACCAGAAATTGAGGGGAACATATATGAGAATATTTAACCACGATCCACAGTGCAATTCAAACGTTGACAAGCGAAAAATTGTTTCAGATGCATCATACCCATACAATCAATTCACCGAACGAGATTTCGGCTTATTCGAAAAAAGTGAAATCATGATACTATAGTATAAACGCATATCGTCCCGGAGGCCGGCATGATTTATCACAAGGATAGGACCATAACTGAACAACAAACAACACTTTGCATTCATTCTTTAGAAGGCATTGAACGGTAGAATTACACTGCCAGGTCGGGGGACAGACAATCGCGGAAATTCAAGTACAAAGGAACAAATGAAGAAATACATTTTCCGAAGAGACATACGTTAGAACAGGTAGATCTTACCACTCAGATCTTTCTGTGTAAAAGAGATAAGCTGTGTGCACAGAGGGAGTTAAAAAGTGTCCCATTGCAGAGACAGCGTTCACAAGTTTACATAAGGAACTTTGATTGTTGATCACGCACAGTGGATGAGCTGATATGAAAAAAAAACTTAAAGGAACAGGTCTGATGACGATTGAAATTGCAAAAGACTATATGAATGTTCGATTATGCTATATTAACCAGGAAACCGCATAAGAAACGCTGATAAATCGCCGGGTCATTTTTCACCGTTCTCTCTCCCCCATCCACACACTCATACAAGGACACTTCCAGCCTGAATCAGGTTTGTGCAAATGAATTTTGATTACCAAATAGCATGCAAGGAGGGAAATTATAAGTGCAAACAGTGCCCGGAGGAACCTAAACGCATTCAGAAAATGAGCCTGGCAATGCGTGATCCAGCCGGATGTGAAAAGCGACGCATTGCTTACGACCGCCAAACGTGGTGAGTAGAGAGACAAGTGAGTTGGTTCACTGCTGTTCAAGGAGAAAATCGTATCAGAGATTAACATGAACGGATCAGCACCTCAAGTGAATTTATAGCCAATGGATTTACTCAGTCCCTAAGTCCCGAACGAAGATTGAGAAGACGAACAATGGCAAAGTACAAAGGAGTCTCGTGTTCTCGATTTCATGAAAAATAGGCC